TGGTTTTTTGTTAAATGTGAGCCAAAATCATCACAATTAAAGAACCAAAGACTTAAACTACTTCAGTCTGTGTGCATTGAATTTATTTAATACACGAGTTTCACAATTTGGGTTGAATTACTGAAATAAATGAACTTTTCCACGACATTCTAATTTATTGAGATGCACCTGTACAGTCAAGCATTAGTTTTTTTCTCAAGTGTTTACTTTCACTTTAGACTTAACCAAATGTGTTTATATGTAAACCTTGTGTGTTTTTGACAGTATTAGCGCAGTCAAACTTTTGCTTTAATTACTGCCTCAATTCGGCGTGGCATGGAGGTGATCAGTTTGTGGCACTGCTGAGGTGGTATGGAAGCCCAGGTTTCTTTGACAGTGGCCTTCAGCTCATCTGCATTTTTTGGTCTCTTGTTTCTCATTTTCCTCTTGACAATACTCCATAGATTCTCTATGGGGTTCAGGTCTGGTGAGTTTGCTGGCCAGTCAAGCACACCAACACCATGGTCATTTAACCAACTTTTGGTGCTTTTGGCAGTGTGGGCAGGTGCCAAATCCTGCTGGAAAATGAAATCAGCATCTTCAAAAAGCTGGTCAGCAGAAGGAAGCATGAAGTGCTCCAAAATTTCTTGGTAAACGGGTGCAGTGACGTTGGTTTTCAAAAAACACAATGGACCAACACCAGCAGATGACATTGCACCCCAAATCATCACAGACTGTGGAAACTTAACTCTGGACTTCAAGCAACTTGGGCTATGAGCTTCTCCACCCTTCCTCTAGACTCTAGGACCTTGGTTTCCAAATTAAATACAAAACTTGCTCTCATCTGAAAGGAGGACTTTGGACCACTGGGCAACAGTCCAGTTCTTTTTCTCCTTAGCCCAGGTAAGACGCCTCTGACGTTGTCTGTGGTTCAGGAGTGGCTTAACAAGAGGAATATGACAACTGTAGCCAAATTCCTTGACACGTCTGTGTGTGGTGGCTCTTGATGCCTTGACCCCAGCCTCAGTCCATTCCTTGTGAAGTTCACTCAAATTCTTGAATCGATTTTGCTTGACAATCCTCATAAGGCTGCGGTTCTCTCGGTTGGTTGTGCATCTTTTTCTTCCACACTTTTTCCTTCCACTCAACTTTCTGTTAACATGCTTGGATACAGCACTCTGTGAACAGCCAGCTTCTTTGGCAATGAATGTTTGTGGCTTACCCTCCTTGTGAAGGGTATCAATGATTGTCTTCTGGACAACTGTCAGGTCAGCAGTCTTCCCCATGATTGTGTAGCATAGAGAACCAAACTGAGAGACCATTTTGAAGGCTCAGGAAACCTTTGCAGGTGTTTTGAGTTGATTAGCTGATTGGCATGTCACCATATTCTAATTTGTTGAGATTTTGTGGGTTTTTGTTAAATGTGAGCCAAAATCACTACAATTAAAAGAACCAAAGACTTAAACTACTTCAGTCTGTGTGCATTGAATTTATTTAATACACGAGTTTCACAATTTGGGTTGAATTACTGAAATAAATGAACTTTTCCACGACATTCTAATTTATTGAGATGCACCTGTACAGTCAAGCATTAGTTTTTTTCTCAAGTGTTTACTTTCACTTTAGACTTAACCAAATGTGTTTATATGTAAACCTTGTGTGTTTTTGACAGTATTAGCGCAGTCAGACGTGAAAGAGAACTTAGTCCAGAAATCAGGCACTGTTTGATAGGCTTTTTAGTGTGCATGCACTTCAGGTGTACACACTCAGAAATAGCGAATGTCAGAACCGCACTGAAATGAAATGTTTAACCGGCTAGACTTTAGATTTAGTCATTTAACTTTAAAGCACATGCAAATAATGTACTTTTGTGATTGCGAATAAGTGCAGTGTCCTGTGAGTGTAATTACCGCTGAGTTAACATTTGATGTGAATTGTGTCGCGTTGTACAGTATGTTGAGACAGAGATGCCAAAACTGCAACTGATGGAATGTGCACTGTAGCACAATACTACGATATATCTTCAAAAGTAGATTGTGGAGACATTTTAATAGTACACGATCAAAAATCGTGATATCGCACACCCCTAATTAAAGTTTTTAAATATACTTTAATATAATAATTTCCCATTCAATCTTCAAATTAATGTAGAAACAACAAAGACAGTATATTTTTAATATTTGTTTAATGGCATCTTTTTTATGACTGAAGACCATAAAATGACTGATACCAATACTACTGATGTCTCTATTTATATTTAACCATTGACTAGCCATTCAACATTATTGTATAATTGAGAGCTATCAATTTGATCATTTAGTAGACTTCTAATTTAAGTGAACTTAAAACAATCTTGACATAAGCCCATTACAATAAATGTCATATTTAGCTACCTGTGTAGGAAATATACAGAAATTGAATAAAATTATCAAAAACTAAATTCTAAAATAAATATAGATGAATACTTAAAGCTACAAAATGTATTGATGTCATCTCTTTTCTTTTGTTCTTTGATTAACAGACATCACAGCAGCTGGTTATTAGGTTATTTTGGCTGCTTTAAGAGCTGCCGCCGCTGAACATGACGCGGATCTGACACGCATCGTATTTTTCTCACAACTCTTTACCTTTTCTGAACCAGTTCAGGTCTCATCTGACCACAGTTCACTGTTGTTCTACTGAAGCTCCCTCGTCACCTGTACCTTTTCCACGCTCGTTTGACTAGCGCCTGGCGCTGAGGTGAAGTTGGAATGCGCGTCTGAAAAGTTTCCTGTTTGATGTGGTTGTAAAGATGTTCTGGGTCTAAATAAACGCAATTCTTGTCAAGAAAAAAGAGACAGAAGCAGCAGTTGTGAGTGGGGTGGCCGACCCTAACTCCACCCCTGCATTAATTGCGTTAAATATTTGAAACCCATTAAACTGAAAAAATGTATTGCATGCGTTAATGCGCTAATTTTGACAGCACTAATTATATTACGTTTAAACTGCATTAGATTCTTATTATGGATTATCAATTATTATCGATTATTGTTACAGTTCTAGATAATATCACAATAAAAATATTATATTCGAAAATGCAAAGCATTTTAATGACTTTTAGATCCCACTGTATATAAATATGCCACATTAAATTGTAAGGGAAAACAGAAAATGAAATGCACATAAGCTTGCAAATGGCTGAACAAAAGTGACAGCAGTTCTGTGAGGGCGTTTCTCTTCTATTCATTGATTCTTTTAGACATTCACTGACTCACTTGAATTCATTCTCTCTGCCTCTCTCGCTCTCAAACACACACACAGCACTCCATACACATTCACCCAGCCTCTATCACACAAACACACACGCGTAAAGTCAGTCAGTGAAAGCATCAACTCACCTCCGAAGGGCGAGGGAAACTGATCCATGGTTCAGTCCGTCAGCTGCTGTCCAGCCACAAACTCCTGCAAAACAACACAAAGAAACCTTGAGCGTTCATTCTTGCACTTATTCACTCACTCAACCTCTGAGAAACAACATAAATGACTTGTTCATCGTCCTGAAACACAAAATCACTCTCGTCAGTAGGGATGGGTATCGTTAAGGTTTTAACGGTATTACTACTCTTACCAATACTGCTCATCTATTCGGTACTTTAATGGTATTCTTATCGGTACTTTTTGTTTAATATATATATATATGACAAATTAAGAGCTGAATTAACATTGCTTTATATTCTGAAATGTAAAATAAATATTTAATGAAATGAATATAAAACATCAATTTGTAAATGCACCAGTGTGCAGGTATTTTTTGTGTTTTATACATAAGATAAGATACAGTAATAACATGAACAAAGAAACAAAGTAAAACAAACTGACAAATACAATAAAACAAATATACAAATGAAATGAAATAAACAGCGCTGTCATTTTTCCATGAAGTTCTACTAACATTACTGTTCAGGTAAGTAATAGCCTACAAAAGAAATCTAAAAGTAAACAAATGTAAATGAACATTGCATAGTTTTCAGTGTATGTATTGATAGATTAATGCTTATTAAAGCTATAAGGTTATTCAGATTAAGAGCAGATTTGCATTTTGATGGCCCAAGCGCCAGTCTGTCACTTTAAGACAATATATTGACACACATCGGCTTTTCTCCCAACTGTTCTCCTCCACTTAAGACATAAACTGTGTTTAAGTAAATACTCTCCAAGCCGGCCATTTTGACATTTTGGTGTGTATTTGATCGATTGGACATGCGCCCGAAGCTCAAAGTGTAATTTGTTTGTCCGTTTTGGAGCACGCCCCACGCACACATTTCAGCCTGAGGAACAGTGTCTCTTGTGCGGATTGTGCTTTCAACGTTTTATTATATATTACAGTAAAGACGGCATCTTACAACAATCACCGATTGAGCAGATTCTGACGTTAAGTTTGGGTTTTAGGGAGGAACGAATGCGCTGTGATCTATCATAATTAAACAGGGCTTTAATGTTGCGCATGCTGAAGCTTCTCCGCGTGAGCACGATCTCGCTTCTGAATTGCGAATAGCAAAAATGCATCATAGACAAATGTTTGAAAAACAGCTGGCGACTCTGGTGAGATAGAATTTGCAAGATAATGTATATATAGCAATAATAAATGTATGTGTGTTTTATTAATTTCTCCAGTACCGATAGCAGAACCGTTAATGTCAGAGCTTATCGATCTTTCATAATTTAGCCCCGGGACCGATTAAATACCGGGTTTCGGTACCCATCTCTACTCGTCAGGGACAAAGAGGAAGAGACATTTAAGTGAATCGCTTCTGACCTGCAGAAAACTTCCTGTGAGTGGAAGGACAAAATGGAACTCCCTGCAAATAAACTCCCACCTTCTCACTTAAACGCACACACAAAACAGACTTGAATAAGGAATAGTAAGGATGTTTGACTAGTTGTTCACCTAATGATAACACTCATCTTGACATTTTCTTACTTTTGTTTTAGCTTTAATATTTTGTAAAGCAATGCTTTAGAGTTGACATTAAACAGAAATTGTGATCAAATTTTTCTTCTCTAGTGTGAGAGAAACGGCTTCTTCTATGAGAAAAAATGTAGGGCAGAACTTGATTTTGTCAATTGTGAATTGAATTCAACTCAATCTTACAGGTGAAAATAACAGAGTTCTCTCAGGTGATCTACGCCCGACTTTTCCAAACATTTAGTCTGCTTAAAGGGATAGTTCACCCAAAAATTCTGTCATTAATTACTCAACCTCATGTCTTTCCAAACACATAAGACCTTCGCTCATCTTTGGAACACAAATTAAGATATTTTTGATGAAATCCGAGAGCTTCCTGACCCTGCATAAACAGCAATGCAACTGAAAAGTTTTATGGCCCAGAAAGGTCATAAAGGTCAAGGACATCGTTAAAATAGTCCATGTGACATCACTGGTTCAACCGTAATTTTATGAAGCTACGAGAATACTTTTTGTGCGAGAGTTTGTTGTAGTTCTCAGTTACAGTAAGCCTGAAATTAACCTCAGTAACACACTTGGAAACAAAACACTGACAAAGTAACTATCTAAAGGTCTCAGTCTGGGACTAGTTATCTCCCAGCTGTGTAAACGCACTGCGAGAATTCACACACACACACACACACACACACTCTCTCTCGCTCTCTCGCTCTCTCTCTCCAGCAGAGACACCCAGGGGGCACCTTGACCAAAGTATTTTAATCAGTGCCAGTCTGTTCTCTTTCTCAGTCTCACCCCCACTCTTCCTCCACCCTTTTCTTTCTTTCCGTTCCTGCATAATGAAATTCACTGCTCTGTCTCCACAGGGTCCAATCACAGCACAAACTGAAAGGTTTTTACAATTAAAACACAAATTTTAAAGTTCAGTCAAAATGTATGGCTTTGTTTTTAAAATACTGTACGTAAATTAGTTTGGCTGTACTGCTCAGACAACTTGCAAAATAGTAAAACCAACATGGCAAAGATTTGTGATAAAATTGTGAATCGTGATTTTCCTGAAAAAAAAAAATATTTTTGCCATATCACCCACCCCTACATCAAAAGAACTTCCCCTCCCTCTGATTACATTCCTTCTGTGACTCTGATGATGTGTGCAAAGCGACATCACAGCAAAATTGGTAAATGTCAATGATTCAACGATCCAATCAATTCCTGATTAAACAAAATCATCCCATCCTACATTTTTTTCACTCAGATATATGTCACAATAGGGAAGAAAAGATGATTACATATTCCATTTCATGTTGACTTGAAAATGCTGAAGGCAAGCAAGGCAGGAGTCAGAAACAATTCAAGAGAAGAAATGAAAATATAATACTAAAGGCGTGAGATGATATTGGTAGTAGCAATTTATTTAATGGAAAAAATAGACTACTTTACAACATACTGGAAATAAAACGTGATGAAAACAGATATGGTTTTGGTGTCTGTTCTTCTGAAGTGCTGGCAGAGAGCAGTGCAGAAACTAAAGGTGTGAGGAAATTCTGATATTTCACACTCACGTTGCATCACTCTGACCACCCGATCACATTGCCCCGCCTGCAGACTTTGAAAAATGCTGATGCAAAAATATGCTTCATTTTCCACTTCATACATCTGACATTTGAATGTGAAGCACTTTCATGTTTCATCAACAAAACTAGTGGTCGACCGATATGGGTTTTTTGACAGCCGATACCGATGCCGATATCTTGGAAAGCAGGGTGGCTGATATAATTTTATTTATTTTAATTCATATTTAAGAACTTAAATAATTTGAAAATGGATTAAAAAATAAACGTGTAAAATAAACATACTTATACTCTAGAAGACAAAGTATTTTTCACAAATAAATAAATATTTAATAAAAATATAATTAAAAAGGAAGTAAACACTGTAACCAACAGGGCACTCAGTATTCTGGGAAGTGTGTGTGCATTGGAAATATTTTTTTTTTCAAATAAAGCCAAGGTAACACTCATTTTACATACAGCACACAGTGAAAATGAATGGGCAAATGCATAATTTGAAATCAGTCACGAGTTTAAAGTTTGTCGATCGTGCGTCTCCAGTGAAGCTGAATTCTCCTCCTGTCTGTATTCAATTCGCACGGACCATAGGACCGACCGTCACAGAACACGTGATCATGCAGGTCACATGCACACTTCACAAGATCTGAACTAGATTCGACTAAGTCTGCAAGGTTTGTGAAATTAAATGTTCATTAGTCATTCAAAGATTTGTTTAAATTATATAAATGCGTATTTGCGGAACACTGACGGCAACCGAGAAAGTATTTTAATGTTTGACTTTAGTAATATTAAAGCAATCGTTATATTACTTTTTTGTATACATTTTAATTCCTTTGTTTAACAGTTCTATCTGATTATTAGATCGACTTCTATCCATATTAGACAGAACTGAATGACAACAGCGAACAAGAGGGAGAATGTGAGCACTGTGTGCTCAGGCGCTGCTGCAGCCGTTCTCGGCGCCGTCAAAATAAAAGTCCCGCCTCGAACACATCGGCCAAACAGAAAAACTTATTGGCCGATGCCGATATTTGAAAAATGGCAGATATCGGCCAATATATCGGCATTGGCGATATATCGGTTGACCACTAAACAGAACTTTTAGAGTTTGCACTAAAACATACTACTATACAAAGTATTAATCTGCAGGATTTTAAGCAGGGTTTCGTAAGCTATACCATTTGTGGAGCAATTTCTATACAGTGAAATTGTTCTTGTTTTACTATGAACATAGCTACTATTTGCAGAAATTCATTATGTCTGAATAGCACTGGCTCCAGGGTGTGTTTGTACTGTCTGAGGTCTAATCTGAAGCAGTGGGGTATTTCTCAAGATGGAGGACTAAGCCCTTCACAGAGAGCTTGACTCAATACTGAAAACATCCAGTTCCCCTGATTAAACAGGACACTGGTGACTCACACGCTCTCTCTCACTGTCAGAGCGCAGTGTCAAACACTGCAGTGCTAGTGACACTGTCACACAGTAGAACCGGCCCTTGTCACGGTCCTGCTAATGACCGTATGTGTATATGTGTGTGTGTGTCTTTGAGCATCTGACCTACTTTTTCCTGTCACTCTTTTTCTGATTCTAATTAAGCTTTTCCCCGGGACAATGCTCTCAAACACAGCCGTTCTGAATGAAAGACCAGGAAAGGGAAATGTTCTGCAGAACACACTAGAAACACAAACAAACAAGTGCTTTCAGAAGATCTGCACGTCTCAGACGAGCTGAGCTTTACTCTTATTCGTGACCACCTTCCTCACTGATCCAGATCCAAATCCGGCCCACTGAATCAAGACATTCCCGAGAAAGGGTGGGGCAAACAGAGGTGATGTCATACAACAGGAATGCTGTCACTAGGTGAGACGAGTCTGGGTGAGGAATTTTTCCATACTCATTGATTAATTACACTTCTGCTATCTTCAATA